TTCTAGATATAAAATCATATCATCAGCAAGTAGTTTTACTTTTAAATTTCCTGTTTTTTAATTGCTTTGATTTCTCTTGCCTGATCACTCTGGCTAATGTTTCAAAGATTATATTGAATAGGAGAGGTGATATGGAATAACACTGTCTTATTTCTGACTTTAGAGGAAATTCTTTTAGTGTTTTCTGCATTCAAACATAAGTTTTCTTTGGGTTTGTTATAAATGGCCTTTACAATATTGAGGTAAATTCCTTTAGTCCCTAGTTTCTCAGGTGTTTTTAATGTAAATGGATCTGGATTTTATCAAAGGTTTTTTCTGCATCTATTGAGATGATCATATGATTCTTATCCTCAATTTAAGTGGCGAATTACATTTATTGATTCAATTCTGTTGAAACAGTCTTGTATACTTGGAATGAAACACCCTTGATCGTGATGTATTATTATTGTCTTAACATGTTTTTGAATACAGTTTGGTAATATTTTATTATGGACTTTTGCAACTGTGTTCATCAAAGATGTTGTTCTGTACTTTTCTTTCTTTGATGCATTTTGGTCTTGTTTTGATATTAGCGTTATACTGGCTTCACATGTGTATCAGGGTGTGTTCCCTCCATTTCCATTTCATTGAATAACTTGAGAATAATGTTAGTTCCTCTTTAAATGTCTGGTATAATTCACCTGAGAAACCATCTGATCTTTTCATTTTTTTGGAAAGCTTTTAATTGCTGTTTCATTTTAGTAGTTGATATTGGTCTCTTTAGTTTTTTTCTTTCAGGTTCAATTTGGGAAAGTCATATTTGTCTAGAAATCTGTCAATATCTTCTAGATATTCCAGTTAATTGGATTGTAAATCTTCAAAATATTTTCTTATGATCCTTTAGGTTTCAGAAGGTTCTGTGGTGATAACTCCTTTTTTGATGTTAAATTTTATTGATTTGGGACTTCACTTTCTTTAGTTAGTTTCATTGTCTATTAATATTATTTGTCTTTTCAAAGAACTAATTCTTTCTTGTTTTGATCCTGTGTATTGTTTTTTTCCCCTCAATTTCTTTATTTTTGGCTCTGATCTTAATTAGTTCCTCTCTTCTACTGATTTTAAATTTAGTTTGTTCTCCCTTTTCTAAGGCCCTGAAGTGGGGCATAAGCTTATTTATTTGAGATATCTCTATTTATTTTAATGAAGGCACTCAGTACTATAATTTTTTTTCTTAGAACTGCTTTCAAACAGCCTCAGGGAGTTTGATATGTTATATCCCTGTCTTCCTGTGTTTCTAAGAATTTCTTGATTTATACTCTCATTTCTTCTTTGATCCAGTCTTCATTTAAAATAATACTGTTTAATTTCCACGTGTTTTGTGGTTTCTATTATTTTTTTGTTGTCAACTTCCAGTTCCATTCCATTATGATCTGCAAGGGTACATGAGATTATATATTTGTTTTGTATTTGCTAAGATTCACTTTGTGACCTATGATATGGTATATTTTGGAAAAGTTATATAAGATGCTGAGAAGATAAATTCAGCTATTTTGAGGTGAAGTATTCTGTAGGTCTGTAGATCCATTTGATTTATAGTTTTATTTAGGTTGGAATTATCTTTATTGATTTAATGTTTTGATGATTTGTCTCTTGGTGATAAGGGTGTGTTGAAACTACCCAGCAGTATTGTGTTGGGGTCTGTCTGAGATTTAGTGTCAAGGAGTATTTTTTTAATGTAATTGGATGTGCTGACATTGGGGTCATAAATACTTACTATTATATATTTTTGTTGTTGTTTTTTCCCTTTACCAAGATGCAGTGGGATTCTTTATCTCTTCTGATTAATTTTTGCTTGGAATCTGCTTTGTCAGAGATGAGGATAGTAAACCTGCTTCTTTTCAGAATCCATTTGTGTAGAATACTTTCTCCATCCCTTTATCTTCAGCCTGTGTTTGGCTGTATGAGCCTATTTTAAAGAGCATATAGTCAAATCTTTTTTTTAATTTAGATTTATTCTGCTAATCTGTATTTTAATTGGTGAATTGAGATCTTTAACATTCAGAGTGAGTATGGATATGGGTTTGTAGTTTACTGCCATTTTTATTTTTTTGCTACATTTAATACTATCTTGATTCTCATTTAGTAGATTACTCTTCTATTAATCTTTCTGTATTTGGGAGCTTTTGGATTTGTTTTGTAGTTCCTCTGCATGCGGTTTATCTTTGAATGTTCTTTGTAGTACTGGCTTGGTGGTCATGAATTCTTTCAGTTTATTTTTGTCATGAAATGTTTTTATTTACCTCTTGAATCTGAAACTGAGTTTTGTTTGGTATAGTAACCTTGTCTAGCAATTGTTTTCCTTTAGAACTTAGAAAATATCTTGTACTGAGCTCTCCTTAATTTTAGGGTCTGAATTGAGAAATCAGACATAAGACTTATTGGTTTGCTTCAAAATGTAATCTGATGTTTTCTCTTACAGCTTTTAGTAATTTTCTATATTTCTACGTAAGCATTTTGCTTATGATGTGCCTTTGAGAACTTCTCATTTGAATAGGTCTATTTGGGGTCCAGTACAGGTCTTGTATGTAGATGTTTATAACATTTCTTATATAGGAAAAAATTTTGGTAACTATCTCATTGAAAATATTCTTAATGCCTTTAGCTTGTATCTTCATGTTCTTTTCTATCCCAGTGATTTTCAGGTTTTGTCTCTTGATATTGTCCCAGAGTTCTTGCAGATTCTGATTATGTCCTATTATTTTTTTTCCTTTAATGCATTCTGTCTACTTAAGTTCACATAGCCTGTTTTTGAGGGCTGAAATTCTGTCTTCAATGGCTGAAGTTCTATCTTCTATACAATCTAATCTATTATTGATGCTTTCCAGAGATTTTTAATTTGATTGACTACATTCTTTATTTTGCAGAGTTCTGATAGGTTTGTTTTCAATGTTTCTACTTCTTTACTGAAGAGGTCTTTCATCTCCTGTGTTTGCACTCTTGAAATAATCTTTCTCTGAGATTTTGTCCACTTCAATATAAGAGGTATCCTTTGTTGAAGGATTGGGAAGATTTGCTTATCTGTTTCCTCCAGTTTTAATAGGTCTTAGACTTGCTCATCAATTTATACAGGTTCCTCTTCCTTGTTTTTACAGGTGTCCTTTTGTGTATGATTATTTTATTTGCTCTGGGACTTTGGTCTGTTTTTAATATACAAGTAGATGTCAAGAGGTGGGCCCTGAGGTCCCTCTCTAGTTGTTCTTCCCAGGGTCCTGGTTTTTGTTTCGGGTTTTTGTCTCCTCAGTTATTTGAGTTGGCATAATGTAAGTCCCAGGTGGGGCTAGATTTTGTGTCAGGTGATATTCACTGTTGCTTGGGTGGGATGTGAGTATTTCTTGACAGTAGAATTTCTACTTTGTAATCCTGAAGTGTTCCAATCTTTTGCCAATCCCTCTTGGTAGTAGGATGTGTATGAAGGATGGCACTCATGTCAGTAACAGCCTTAATATAAATGCCCATGTCTACTTTGTCATCTATAACTCCAATTGCCACCTCCATAGGAATGGTGGGATCAGCATTTAACAACATATCTAATTTTACTAATCATAAAAATGTGAACTAGATCAGGTATTAGACAGCAGGTGTCTACCATGTTGTCCACAATATTAATAGTCACAACAACTTGAATGGGGTAGGAATTACATAATCTATATAATTTCTATTATTTAAAGTGATTATAATCTTAAGTAAAAGTGAATATCACAGTAAGGCAAGAGAAATCTTCAGTGTTTAAAAGTTATTAGAGGAGAGGCAAGAAATAGGGAGTAGGTATCATTTATAAAGAAGAAGGAAAAATAAGTTAACTGAAACCAATGTAAAAAGAATTATAGGAGGAGGGAATGGGAAATTTTGACTGTTACTGGGGGAAGAGGGTGAAGAAGGGAAAGATAGGAGGGATGTAAGATGAAACAACTTCAACCCTCATATAAATTGTGTGTGTGTGTGTGTGTGTGTGTATATATATATATATATATATATATATATATATATATATATATATATATATATATATATAATCTATCCATGTAGATAGAGCATGTTCAAAACACACACACGCACACACTCACACACACACATACATACAAAATCAATTAATCAATATTCTAAAATTTAAAAGGAGTGAAAACATGGACATATGGAGAAATAAATGAGAAAAAAGAGAGTAAAAGAAAGACAAAAAAATTCTTAATCAGACACGGAAGGCTTGATTCCACTGTGGTGGTCCAATCTATTGACAGGGATGGACTTTCAGTCTTTGTATTTATTTTTTGCTCTGTATTTTTGGCCCCTCTTCTTTACCTGGCTTCCAGCCATGTGTAGTTGCTCTCAGCTTCCAATTTCCCAGTATTGGGTGGGATGGACTGGGGAGTGCTGTTGAATTGTGTAATCCTTAGTAGAGGTGATGCAGAGATCTAGATTGGAGCTTCCAGTTGTTGGGGTTTGGACTTCCATGGGTTTGGGAATTCTGTTGGTAGGTATTTGAGATTTGGTCCACTCCCTCTATTGGTGTGGAACTTTCTATCTCTGCTGAGCTTCCAAAAAAATCCATTTTTAAGGTCCAGGGACTAAGACTCCATGGGTTTCCTCCTGATCCCTATGGATATGAATTACTACATATCCACCCAGTACTGAAGATGGACTGTGTGATGGCAGTGAATATCTTCACACCAGTTTTAGTGGGTGCCAGATATTATGGAACTTTTCTCCCTTGGAATTGAGATACTGGTCTTTTAAAATGTTATTTGTTTCTGTTTCAGTATTTCTGTTCAGGCACTCTCTGGTAGTGTTTTTGATAGCTTCCTTTATGAGCTCCCAATCTCCCCACCCATCTCTGTTCACAGATGCACAGATGTACAACTTGTGTGGGGACAGCTTTCAGCATCTTCGCACCGGAAGTATAATCTCATCTGAACAGTGCTTGTGGAGGGCTTGCCACCTCATGGGATGCCTTTTTTTTTTTTTAAATGCGGTGCTGGGGATCAAACCCAGGGCCTCATGAGTTCTAGACAAGTGCTCTACCACTGAGCCACAGCCCCAGCCCCAGCCCCCCTGTAATGAGATGCTTTCACCTCGGCAGACCACTTTGGATTTGTTTTCACTGAGATGTGTATCTACCAGCTCTGTGTCTATAAAAATCAGTCTTCCTCTGTGAACCACAGGTTTCACTAAGTTGATTTTACTTTATTTTTTAATTTCATTATCAGCCAGTCATGAATCTCTTTTGTCTGCTCTCCCTGCTCTGCTGGTGGCCATAGCTGTGGTGTCACTAAGGTATTATTTCTTGTGTTTCAGTTACCAACTTTGAGTAATGCTATGATTTTTCTTTATTTTCCTTTTTTTTTTCTTTTACTGTTTCAGTGAGGTTCCCTTGTTACTCACCTTACTGAGCATCAGCCTTTTTGCTTTATAAGTCGGGTATTGAGGAACTATTGGGCCATGCTTCTTTCTTTACTTCTCCATCTTGTCTCCTAAATAAAACTTTGTTCTAATAGCTAAGGATAAGGAAGTATAATTGAAAGCCCGCTGGACATAGTATGAAAATATTCTGTACGATATTGTCGAAGTGGATATCCAGTAAAACATAGCTGCTGCTAAGATAAATAATCTTTACACCTATTTTTATCTTCCCAGTATTAATTTAAAAAATATAACTGTAACAGTGTCATGGAACAAAAGGTCTCTGAGTAATAATTTACATTTTTAAATAACTTCACACTAAAATTGAAAAATGTTTAAGGAATTTGTATGGATTTAATGTAGGCAATAATGTTCAAGGATGGTAGAAACATAATAAAAGAAGAGCAGTGCATTTCTCATTCAAAAATCATTTATCAAGCATTCACAATATGCCAGTGTTACAAATACTGTGGAATTAATAATGAATCTGGTCTCTGCCTTGAATTAGCTCAGGTTAGAGGGACAATTGCAGGCACAATTTTGTTTGACAAGTATTATGATAAATATTGCTTTATCTACTGGCAATGAAAAATCTATCAATATATACTCAAACTTGTGCAGAAAGATATGGCTAAGATATACATGTTATAAAATTAAAAATAAAATAATGTCTATTATTCCAGCATTTTTGTAGTTCCAGGAGAAGATCTTTCAACATAATTTAACCAGGCATATATTTCTGAAAAAAAAAAAACAATGTTTCTTTAACTCATCTCTTTATTTTTTAATTTAAAATAAGAATACTGATTTTACTAAAATTCCACAAACTCAATGATTAATATACTTTATCCTGATCAATAGCTTGAATAAACTAGAATCTGAGATTTTACCTCTTAGCATTTAAACAGGACAATGAAGAGTACATGTTATTAGTAGTAAACAAGACAAAACAAATAACTCTTCTTATATTTTACAAATGGAAAACAATTTTGTTTTTAAGAATGATTTTTCTTTATATGAAAACAATATTTCATAAAAGTGTTATTTCTTAAAAACTTCCTTTTGTCAGTTGCCTTTTTGAGGACAAATATAACTAGTTTTCTACATTTATAATTTTGGAAATCAAATCTTGGGAGTATTTTCATGTTTTTCAGATACTCATTTATCTAGGTTACATGCTTCTCATTCTTTGAATGATTTACCACAAAGAAGAAGGTTAAAATTTTTGAGTCCCTTTAATAAATTCTCTCAAAGTTCCTTGAAATTAAAAGTTACTTATATTGTTTGCTGACCTCAATTTGTACAACTCTTAAGCTAATATCTCAGTACCATAGAGAATTTTGAAAATTCACTTGAAGTAGGTTTTATCACAATACTAATAATTGTGGGTAATTTTATTGTTAATTATTTCATAATTTGTATAAGTAATTTTATTATTGTAGGCTATTGATTTATGAATGCTTATTACATAATAGATACACAATAAAATTTATAATAAATTGATAAAGTATTGAATTTATAATTATAAAAGTCAATTTTTCACTCTGTCTTTAAAAATTATGCAGTTATATTGGTGAATATATGTTCAAATATTTATATGCATTGCTATTAAATTAATCTTGTATAGTTTATCTCGTTATGCAGATCTAAATTTCATACAATTTTGCTACCAATTCTCCTTAGTGCCTTTTAAAACATATTAAAATCCCTTATTCAGATCATTAATCTAAAATTGTAGAACAGGTCAGAGCAGGGAAGAAACCTTTTACACATAACTAATACCCTTCCTAGAAGATGGCATTCATTCTTTAATTAACTCCTTCTAGTTAAGGTCATTGGATATGTTACTAATTTGCTTAATTGAATTGGCATCAAACTCATGTTTTTTCTTCATCTTGGCAATAAAAAATGTGACGAGAATTATTACACGTTTAGAGGATTTGCCACTGATCTACTCTAGAGGTCTTTAAAGTTTGAATTTGAATAATATAAAAATACTGGGAAAGTATAAGAATTAATAGGTTTCAAGAAACAAAATTTGTGCTTACTTCAGCATTTTGTTTGATCTTTACTATTCTTCATCTGAAAACTGATTTTTATTGTCATCATTATTGACCTTTAGTGAATAATTAATTCATATACTCTAATTATAACATTTAAGAACATAAAATATATTGACTTCTTTCGAGTCAAATAATGACATTTAATATTCAATGCAATATTTCAGAAAAATCTTCAAGTCAGTTTCAAAAATGTGTGAAATTTTTGAATGGGTCATTTCTTAGGGACAAGATTACCGAGAGTTGATTTCTGCCCTATAATTTGAATCATTTGCATTTTAATCAACATGAATATCCCCTTTTATAACAACTATCTTTGCAAATTTGAATGTTTTTATAATACAAATTCATCAGAGTGGAATTATAAAATGCCCGAAGATACTAAGTTGTAATTTTAATTAAGTACATTTAATTAAGTACATTAACATTACAGAAATATTTAGCTCTTTTTTTTCTTTTATCTGTTGAGCTGATATTAGGTCTTGTTCATTGTAAAATATGTCCTTGAATTCCTGAGCTAAAGTTATCCTTCTGCCTCAGTTTCTCAAATACCTGAGACTACAGGCATGTGCTACCACACTCATCCTATCAGTTCGTATTAAATATATTCAAACATATAGCATTGATAGATGTCTTGATAATCAGAAAGGCAGACAGAGAGCCAGACAAGTAAATAAATATGAAGACATACAGAGAGGGGGGTGGGGTATAGATACACAAAAAGGCAAAAAGCAGAGAGTCATACGCATAGATACACAGATGAACAGAGATAATAGAAACTTAACAGACATGAACAGATAGACGTAGAGAAACAGATAATAGAGAGGTGCAGCAATGGATAGATAGATAATAGGCAGAGAAATAGAAAGTAGACAAATAGAAGGTAAATAAGAAATCTTATGCACCTTTAAAATTATAAATGAGATGGTAACTCTGGTTATAAGATGGATATGCATATTGATTGTGTCCCTGAAAAAAATGTTCTATTGATGAAGATGGTTAAAAAAATGGAAATATCATGTTCATTCTGAGGTCATTTTACATTTCAGTGATTTAATTTCCTACTCTATCAATTAAGTCCACAGTAAAACCAATGTAACTCAAACTTCTGTGTTATTTTTAGTTCATTTTACAATTACTATTAAGTTTAGTCAAGTCTTTTATTATTATTGTATTGCAGAGCAAGATCCTATTTCAAACCTGTTTTAACACAGAAGTAATAAAAATAGTACTCAACTAATGGTTCTATGATCCATAAATTGGATCATTTTAAAAGAGCATTTCTTGATTATATATAACTGAAAATACTGGACATTCAAATAAATCTTGATGAAGCATATAGATTTTACTTAGGCAAAGATGCTCAGGTAATCTTTTTTTAAGGTACAAATTTGGGTAAATATCATCTACTCTTCTGATATTAATTGATTTCCAATAGATTGCTTATTTAACATAAGTGTATTTTTACTAAGAACTAAATTCTACCAGATACTGAATGGATTCTGTGGATACATTAATGGTAAAAAATAAAAAATATGATCCCTGCCCCATTGAACTTCCATTCTAGTTTAGGTATATAGGTAATGAATAAATGACATTAAGGTAAGTGGTAAGTACTATTGTTATCAGACCCAAGTTGTATATGCTCATCCTAAGATAGGCCAGTAAAGTTGACATATAAGAGGTTGAAGGAAAGAACATGACTTTATCTAAAAAGTTGACTGATCCTCAATATGGTAAATTATTGTTCAAAGACTATCATAGTCAAGACTGGTTATACTGTTCTTCCATAACAAATAAAATCTGAAGTATCAGTGACTTACCTCGCAATATTTACTTATTTGCTTACATAAAATATTTTAGGTCAAGTAATGATTATGCTGGCAAAGACTGCACAATTCTGAAAACATTCTTCTAAAGTAGATGAGGTGAAGTTGATAATACATAAGTAGAGAGGTGACTTTATATATAATCAGGGACAGTTTGAGGAGAGAAGATAGAGTTGAAGGGTTCATATACCAATATGTTGGTAGAGTGATGTGGGAGTGGGAGTATATAGAAGTTCTCTCTTGCTTGTCTCTGTTTTCTCAGTGATATTGAAAATGGTCATCAGCTCAGAATGTGAATCTAGAAGAGGTATTGGAGGTTTGAAATGAGAGAAATGAAAAACTATAATCTAGAAGAGATGGTAAGTGAATGGGTTAGAGATCCATAATAAAATTCCTAAGTTTGTTAAGTTGTCCAGGAGTTTAAGGTAGACCTGGAAGAAAGTTAGTGTGCTATTCTCCAATGCCATTCAGATGCAGGGTGTGGAAGCTCAGCAAACACAGAGTTGGGCTTTCCCCACAGAATTAAATGAAGAGACCAAGTATGTGAGTTGAGGGTATGTACAGATGGGTGGTGATAATAATGTTCTATGGAATTTTTGCTAGGTAAAACGGTGTGTATATGAAGGGAGTGGGGCCATTACTAAAACATAAAGCAGTGAATTTCACTGCACTCCATGATAGGTGGAATTTCAAGATTCCCTTCCTTGGGAGTGAACTGTAAATATCATGGGTAGCAAAATATAATGCTTAA